TGTACCAATATTTATGTGTTCAAATAAAATAATAAAATCTACCATCTCAATAATAATTTCAATATAGAGCGAAATAAGTTTAAATTTTAATAGTCACCCTCGTATTTTCATGACTTAAAGTTACTTTATTAAAATATCGCTGTTAACACTCACATCTTTTTAAATAGTGAAAATTTCCATTTTTACATTTGGTAAATAAAGAAGGAACGATTTGAGGGAATGATTTACAATAATGAAATAATACTCATCGAGTGGATATGTTACGTAATAATTACATAGTGATATTTCGATTATAAATTAACATAGAGTAATTGGAAGTATGAGGATTAATACTAATGAAAGTAATTAATCGAAAACCAAGAAGTTGATATGTTGCATAATATATATAAAAAAGGAACAGAATATTTCAATGGACGGTCAATATAATAGTAGTTATGTAAGAATCAGGAGATGAATGTTGGGAAAATTACAAAGTTCAAAAAAATAACTAAATGGAAGAAGTACGAAAAACAGTTCTGCTGTAAGCACTCTTATACCGATGGCCAAGGTAGAGAAAGTGGTTGTACAAATTTCTTTCGAATGCAACGATTAGTTTTGTGAACATGGATCGCGATGGCTTCAGCAATGTGCAAAAGGCGCACTCGTAAACCATGTGGTAAATTTGATGGAATATGGTAGATAACCTTAAAATCTTTGTTCAGTTCAACTTGATGACCTGTGTCAACCAAGTGAGCGAGAATAGAACTCTTAATCACTCTTACCTGTCCTTTGCTCAACCACAACAGATGGTGCTCTGTAATACGATAACGAACTTGTCGAATTGTACGTCATATATAACTGGCTCCACAGGAGCAGTTGAATTCATAAATACACATGGATTTGGCAAATTCAGGAAATCCGTCGTTATTGACCGTTCTTATTGTGAGGTGGTTGTAGAAAATAACACTTATGTTGACTGCAATAAATATTTGCTGTACCGCTTTCCTTAGTCTCTGAGTCACAATTTCTTCAGTAGTGTCATTTAGAAATTGTAAGTTTATTAGCAATACTTTCTTAGGAACCGTGGGTATCTTTGTCCTTCTTTCCATTTCCTTCATATGTCTGTCGACGAACTTCATTGGGTACCCATTCTAACTAAGTATGTTACGAATATTAACCAATTCATCATATACAATAGTGTCATCAGACCAAATCATTCTGGCACAATGAGTCAGGATTTTCGTCAAGTTCCTTTTGTATCTGATTGGTATTGCATTATAGAAATGAGCGTATTGTCCTGTTGCAGACTTTCTGTGTAACCCTCCTTTTAAAGTTCCATCTGCCTGTTTAGTTAGTTGGACATCTAGAAATGATATGCTGTTGTTCTGTTCTTTCCCTGATCTGAAATTAATTGATGGATTTTATTAAATATACTATTAAATTGCCCTTTCCTTGTTATCTTTCTAATGCCATGAAAGTATCGTCTATATCGCGAAAATACGTTGGTAAATGGCTGATTGTGTTTTTAAGTGGTCCATTTTCCAGTTTTGCATGAAAAATGTCTGCCAGTAGAGGGCCTGATAGTAACTCCATGGCTACTCCGTCTAGTTGTCTATAGTGTTCGTTGTCAAGTCAGAATTGGACATTCATCGTACATCTAAGAATTAACTGTTTTATTTCGGATGTGAGAATGGTGGTTTCTATACGCCTCACTGTTAGTTCATTACAAATAAAATCCACCGTTTCAGTTAGTGGAATGTCAGTGAATAAGGACGATATCTCGAAGTTATTCTTGACCGATAAATTTTTTACATTCTCAACAAACTCAAGGGGATTCTTGACACTATGCTTAACAACTTCTTTGTGTAATGGCTTGAGAATTTGCAACAACAATTTTGTTACGGTATAATAGGCTGAGTTAAAATGCTTTGAATTATTTTTTCTGGTAAGCGTTTTTTTAGCGAGTTAGTTTTCTAAGGGATGGGGACGCTAACCCCATGCCCAACCCTCCTCCTTTACCCGAGCTTGGGACCGGCAGTAACTCTAGAAGAGCTACAGGCGGACTACAGTGCAAAGTAGTGCATGGAGGACAGCTGACAGATGCATTCCAAGTAAGGACCGGAGTCAGACAAGGCTGTTTACTCTCTCCCTTCCTCTTTCTTCTGGTGGTCGACTGGATTATGAAGACCTCGACATCTGAAGGAAAACACGGAATACAATGGACAGCTCAGAACCAATTAGACGATCTGGACTTCGCAGATGACCTAGCCCTCCTATCACGTACACACGAACAGATGCAGATGAAGACAGCCAGTGTAGCAGCAGTCTCTGCATCGGTAGGCCTCAGTATACACAAAGGGAAAATCAAGGTCCTCAAATTCAAAGCGGAGAACAGCAATCCAATCACTCTTGATGGCGAAACTCTGGAAGATGTAGAATCCTTCACATATGTGGGAAGCATCGTCGATAGACATGGAGGTTCAGATGCAGACGTAAAGGCGAGGATCGGAAAAGCAAAGACAGCATTCCTACAATTGAAGAACATATGGAACTCAAAACAACTTTCAACCAATATCAAAGTCAGAATCTTCAATACGAACGTCAAGGCAGTTCTACTGTATGGAGCTGAAACTTGGAGAACTACAACAACCACAATCAAGAAACTACAAGTATTTATAAATAGCTGTCTACGCAAGATACTCAACATCCATTGGCCGGATACCATCAGCAATGGCCTTCTGTGGGAGAGAACAAACCAACTTCCAGCTGAAGAAGAAATTAGGAAAAGACGATGGAAATGGATAGGACATATATTACGCAAATCGTCAAACTGCATCACGAGACAAGCCCTGACTTGGAATCCTGAAGGGAAGCGGAAAAGAGGAAGGCCAAAGAACACATTGCGTCGGATAATAGAAGCAGATATGAAAAGGATGAATTACAACTGGACGGAGCTAGAAAGGATTGCCCAGGACAGGGTTGGATGGCGAATGCTGGTGAGCGACCTATGCTCCTTCACGAGGAGTAACAGGTGTAAGTAAGTAAGTAAGTATAATAGGCTGAGTTATTCATATCTAAAACTGATGGAAAGGGCAAGCCACTTTTATGCATTTTTGGCAGGCCATGCAGCCTTAGTGTAATCGTTCCTTTTTCGCTCAGTTTGTTCCGTATTTGTTTACCACATGTCAAAATAGTAATTTTCACCAAATTCAAAAGTTCTAGGCAAACATTTGCGTTGAAGGTTCTCTACGTGTATCTGAAGTATAGCGCAAAGCTCAGCAAGGCAAATATAAATATTTTTTATGGTAAGCATTATCATAAATATTTGATGTGCACAAAAAATTCGATTAGCGATCACCAATTTTCACCATCCTCTACTTCATTTTCGTCATTCTATCCATTACTTATTCTTAAATCAGGGATTTTATTTTACTTGTAACTACTGTGTTATTTCTGTTGCCCAATGCTTTTTTATTTAATCTGAATAATAATCATATAGGCTTAGCCGACCTACAAATTTATATAAGTTGAAATTACACATTGGTCATTTCAGACTACTAGTTTTATTCTACCAACAACCGTAGATACATATGCTGTGAATTTTAACAGATCTATCCACCTCATCTTAATGTACACCATGGTAATAATTTGGGTAGTCAAGATTGTCAGTGTAAAAATGAAATGTAAAACTGAGTATTGAAAAACGTTTGATCAAGCGAAAATCATTCCTAGTATTTACGTGGTTCACTTGACGCTGAATGAACACTTTTATCATGACATGTGATTCAAGTGGATGATATTATTGCGATCGCAGTATTTTTATAAAGCCCTTGAACTTTTAATAAAAAAACATACAAACTTTCTATGTTAAGTTATGTTATTATTTGTTCTTAACCTAATTTGCCTTTTTCATGGACGACGTCTGAAGTTTGACAGTATATGAATTATTTCATGGCTACTATTTGCTTATATTCGTAAGTAGTAACAATATCTAGCTCCTGTTTGACTTAAAATCCATATTTAACCAGATGAAAATGGTTCACAGCGCGATCTGTTCTGTTTACGGGCATTTTGGGAATACATTCATCATCTGCGAGGTGGACTAATAAGTCTTTTAAAAAAATGGATAACTACTGACAGCCATGGAACGATTTCAAATAAAGTTACTGTAACTTTCATCTCGCAAACTATGATCATAGAAAAATAGCGAGAGTCCACATCTTTTATGGACTTTGTTCAAGCCTATACTAGATATAAACTTTAGTGATATTCCTCAGAAATGAATATACATATTTTATATCGCATTCAAAGAGCTTCGTAAAAGTTCAAAATGACATACAGATAGGTTGTAAATAGTAAAAAAGCAAACAAAAGCTTAAGAACATTACTTATACAATCGGTTAATCGTAGATCATGAATACAGAAGTCCTAGACAACAAAGATAAGAAGTTCACAAATGCATATTTATAGAGACTGATAACTAATATGGTTAGCGACGTAGTACAATATAATTTGTTCATTGATCGTGCAGTAAATTCTGCTACAAAGCATTTGTGTAATCCTTTTGAAGTTGCACTATGATTATGAAGTTTTGCTTTAAAGCTTTTGTCATTCAAAATGATTATCAATTACTAAAATTAATTTACATGTTATTAACTTCCACTACAAAGGAAAAATTGAAATTTGTCCTTTGCTTGTGCCGAATTCCGCACTATAAACGTTCACACAAAAAGTTGCCACAATAACCACTCCTACAAAACATTTACAGCATATCTTTATCTGGGTTTAATGACTCAGTTTTACATAATGGCTTCAAAACCAGTAATTAAGATAATAAGTTTTCTACCAGTTCGATACGACATGCACCAACATTTTACGCTTCTTGTAAGCTGAATTTTATCCTTGATCACAGAATTTGAAAAATAATCATACGTCAAAAGGGTAAAAATTAATTCGAACCCTCAGTACCTATATGTATAAGAAAAATCGAGTAATGAGCGCGTAAAATATAAAATACTGACCTGCAAGATTTTTAATTCGTGATTTTTCATACAGGTTTACGCTCATCAGTAAACTTGGAGTCCATGAACTGTTTTTGAGAGTGATAACATGTTATGGCTTTTGAAAAGCTTACAAGCAATTCGTGACTTTCAGGTTTCCTTCAAAGATTTAAACAAACGTAGTGCCTTAACTCATTCTTAAGAAAACTTACAACCAACATTGCATCTTCAAATACCCTTATTTTCTTTCTATTTGTAAATTAAGCAAGCAGCTGATTATGTTCACAGATTTTACCTTTCATACAGTTTTTAACGCTTACTATGTATCTAATATTGAAGATCACTAGAGGTGCTCTTTTCTCAGTAGCTACCCTCAATGTCAGTACCTCTCCGAGATCAAAGCAAGGTTTATATGTAACTACATCGATGATCACCCCTACAGTAGTGAGTAAATCCCAAAATAATTTCGTAAATCCTGGACATTGATGTTAGCATGATTAGTTTTACTGGACACGCCACTAAATGAGGTCTTGTGGCCAAACATCAACACGGAATCACACTTTTGTACGTCGAACTGTTTATCTCTTATGGCGAAAAACCAGCTAGGGTCGCGTGCACTCTGATATATTGACCATTTACCAAGATTTCATCGCAACCCATTGTAGAGACTCACATTTATCACGAGAACACGATTGGTTTAATGAAAACAGTTATTATAACCAACTGTGCAAGTGACTGTTTTAATGTGCTTTTGTTTAACTGTGCTAAAAAGCATCCATTATTACTCTCACACTTTGATCGTGAACTCGCGCGAATTCGGTTACATTCTGTAACCAAGCTTGTATCCTGGCACGATCTCGGTATTCTTTGATACCACGAGATCGCCAGCAAATATATCTAGACTCGGTCTATTAATTGCCTTCTGATATCTGGGTTCCGTGCGATTTTATGGATATCTTGGCACGCGTTCCTTTGTAGTTTTGTACATAGTCAATCTCGACTCGACACCACGCTACACCATCATTACTGAGTTCTTGATTTACCTACTTAAAGATACTTGTGCAGAATGACGTCTTGAAAAGAGATCTCGAAAAATATTGCGTGACCGTGAAATTTAAACAATGGACATCAATATAGTCCGGCATATCATACCGCTAACTGCTAGTTTGTTCATACACACGTTTACATATATATTTTATATATTGTGAAATTTTTGTGTTCTTCGATCTTTGACTGCATATTTATTCATCTTTTCATCTTTTTGTCCAAAAACGAATTGAACTGTGCAATAATTAAGATCTCTTTGTTTTTACTCTATAAAGAATACCACGCTAGCATGATAAGTCTGGATCACCTATTCAGAAGCTCATTATCACAGGCATGGCATTACTGACTTTCCTCAGTATTTTTTCACAATACCGAAGATACCAACGCGATCGTTTTCGACGTACGTTAAACCTACTGCACTTATAGGCGATACTTCAAAACACTAGGAATCTTCGGATTAGTCTAGCTTTAAGGATGGAGAACTCTGTATCAACCTCGCTTACATTCTAAGGATTTAGAATGACTGTAGACGGTTGATAAGTACCCGTAGAAACCCACCAAATGTATGATCAGTTTCCAGACAATCCTTATTGGTGTTGACACTGTAGGTCACTGACGGTGGCCACAGACGCAAGTGATCACGGAATGAGTGCTGTATTGTGTCAGGCTGATAGAGTGGTGGAATACGCGTGTCGCTTTCTCACACCCGCTGAACAGACGTTTTCAACAATCAAAAAAGGAGTGTTTAGCAGTCGTGTGGACAGTAGAAAAATGGAGAACGTGCCTTTTTATGTAGACCATTTCACATTGAGACCGACCATAAACCCCTGCAGTGGTTGAAAACAGCAAGAGACCTCCGAAGAAAGTTGGCGCGATGGGTGATACGTCTGCAAGGGTACGAATTCAGTATCGGCCATGTTCCAGGAAAGAAAAACGAAATGGCGGACTACTTGTCAAGACGAAACACAGAAGCCGACCTTCCAGTGACAGCATACGCCTTGAATAATTTAGAGGGAGATCTATTAGAACTCGTCCGACAGCAGAAAGCTGACCCTAACCTTTGAGAGGTGATCAATGTGATAAAAGAGAGATCAGACGTAGACAAACGAACAATGGTTGGGGAGTTATTAATGCTGCTTCTGCAAAAGGAACGACTGAGAGTAAATGCATATGGAGTTTTGGGTGGCTGTGATCCCGAAAGACTGGCGGCGTAAGATGATACATGAGTGTCAACAGGTAGCACATGCAGGCATTGCAGAAACAACGGATTTACTACGACAAAGTGCATACTGGCCGGGGATGAGAGGTGATGTGGCTCAATACGTGTTAACGCCATTACAGTCAGTCCCAGTAACCGCAGTCGGTGATCTATTGTCGGTGGATGTGATGGGACAGTTTCCACAGACGGCGAGCAGTAACCAGTACCTGCTAGTGATGACGAAATATACTACACGTTGGGTAGATGCCGTACCATCGCAGACCACCGGGCAAGAACAGTGACCGGAGCGGTAATCCAGCCTATTGTAGCGTGTCACGGAATACCAAAGATGATATTAACTGACCAGGGTCCCCGTTTCGGAAGTGACGAGTTTAAAGCCCGTCTAAAGCAGTTTGGCACCAAGAGGTTACGAACTACACCGTATCATCCTCAGACAAACGGGCTTACATTAAGAAACCATCGGACGTTAAGGGAATGGTAAGCATCTAAAGGAGGGCATTGGGAGAAAGAGTTACCATTGATTTTGCTGGCACATCGTTCCTCCATACAAGGAACAACCAAGCAGTCACCTTTCTTGCTCATGTATGGCAGACAGCCACGACTTCCAAAGCAATATTAACACCTGACCACAACAACATAAGTAGACGACAATAAGGTTGAGAAAAGAGACGGGGGAGGCAATAAGGAACATGTAAAAGAAATAAATATCAGACACAAAAATGTTGGAACAACAAAGGAGAACGTGGAAACCTTTTGCAGTGAGGGACCTAGTGAAGTGTGGAGAACGGGAAAGTAACATAGCAGGGGGATCAGGGTCGGGAAAGCTGATCCTAAAGTGAGAAGGACCGTACGTTATCCCAGAGAGACGTGGCTCGGTTTACATAATCCGGAGAGAAGACAAGCAGGACTTGGATTTGAGCACGAAGCACAGGTGAATTAAGCATTTGGCATAAATGACAGTAGTTTGATACATTCAGACGATGTTGTCTGTCAGTGGGACTAGGAAACGGACTGTGACTGGTCTGTGTTGTTAATGTCTCGAAGTGACACGGAACAGAATGAGAATGTAGTGGTAGTGTTGTTGTTGATTGGCTGTGATCGTGTGTTTGTGTTAGTGTATATGTGATAGTCAAAACCGTATGATGTGGGTGATTGTGAAAGTGAACGTTGTGGGTGGCATCGAACTCGTTCTCATTTCACACTGGTCCCTGAAACCAGCACCTTGGATCACTCGGCCACACGAAGAATGACCGACCAACCGCAACAGTGATTCATCAATGTCAAAATTCCATTTCACCTTTATCCAAATACAATGTACTATTCAGGATAACACTACAAACGACACAATACTCATGGACACATGCACTATTATCATCGGAGCTTCTAACCCTAACTCAAGCCTAACTCTGACCCTCAATCCTAACTGTTGACCTGACTCCGACCCTAACCCTTCTCCAGTAGTCACTATGTTGCACTTTCTGACCTGGCTATAGTTTTTTTAGATGATTTACAAAGACGATAAACACAACCAACTTCGGCTATGTTATCAATCATACATCCGTTGGGTATTAAATTATGTCAAGAAATTGCTTTTATCTATTGAGATGGTGGAGGTAAGAAATGAAACTCATTAAAGCTTTTGTCAATGTCTAATTCAGCTGGATACCATTTCAACTGCAACTGATTTATATAGTTCGTTTTATTTTAATTGTGAAATAACTTTTATTGAAGTGTAAATATAAATCATTTGTTTATTGTTCATAATTGGAATATATATAGACCTAAACACATAAGGGCTCAGTGAAGTATTCTCTTTATTGAATGTTTGCTGATATGTCAGCTGCTATTGTTTGTGTATTTGCTAACAGCGGTTCGTAGATTTCTGGTAAAAAAGTAACGACGTCTCTTATCAATCTTCACTGCTCAGCTGGTTGATAGTAAACAGAAGGCAATCGATCATGGGTCCTATCGCACTTTAAATGATCTTCCCAACAGAGTGTTTTTATTGATTATATTGTACGAGCCAGATTCTTGAATAAACAGTTCTAGTATTTGAACATGGAGAAAAGTTATTCTGATGGCCAGTAGGAACTCGTTGAACAACCAAGTCGTCATCTTGATGACAAGCGTTACTTTTAAAATGGCCATTAATAGAGTGACTCCTGACTTCTTTTGCAGCTCAAGTTTTAACGTCCACTGACAGCACTATAATTTTCTGCACATAACGTGGAAATGTGCAGGATGTTTCTTACTTTCGAAGATACTGTCTACGTACTGGTCATTCCACAGTATCCCCAAAATTTTATTTTGTGTTGTGATTCTCAACATATTTATTACCGTAGTAAACTGACAGATACAATAAACTGGTCGTAATTTATATTAGATCCTAGTATTATCAAACGTTATGAACGACAATTATCAAACGAACTTGAAATAAATACCGAGCTTCAGTAGCCGTAGGTGTAATACCAAATGTATTTGATCGTTTTCTATAATCCTTTGTTTCACAGGCAGTTAATAGATTCTGATTGTTGAGTGAAGAGTAGCAAAATAAAGGTTTCTTGGTAATATTAGCTTAACTGAATTGCCTTCTAGTTGGTTCATTTGATCTATGAGTTTCATTGCCGTGGAATAATCTCAAATGAAGTGGCGTTGAAAATCCGTTCCTTCATGGTGCATAAGGTTTCATGGATGAGCATCATCGATTTGTAGAAATAAACATTTTACCTTGTGTATTCCCATTGTTCAAAATACCGAAGAATGTTGTCAAACCACTGCCACAAATAGTTACAACATTCTTACAGAAGTTTTTAAAGCAGTTAGTACACATAATTTTTCGAACTTGAAAGCTTCATTATTCATCTGGATAATAATTTGTCTGATGTAAAACACAA